ATATTTTTAAAATGGAGTTGGTTACTGATGCACCAGCCTACCAACACCTCGGTGTTTCTTCAGTTGCTACCAGTCCTTCCAGTATTTCAGTTTTCCAGAGGAATTTAGTGGTAATCCTTGGTGGCCCCCTCCAGGGGAGTGGGGTTGTTACTGGGGACCCCGCTATGTGTGGCTTTATTGCAGAGATATGAGAAATGACTAGAATAGAAATACTTTAGGATCAAATCAGTGATAGGGAAAATGCCAGAAACCTAGTTCTTAATTTTACTTATATAATCTCTCCAGTAAAACCCGGCTTGCTATTTTGTCTGTGAGTACATGCATGCGTGCTTGTGTGTTGTAGAAAGATTGAGTTTGTGATCACTTGTTTGACATTCTTATCGTGATTCCCTCTTTGATTATGTGGGTATCATTTTCTTTCCAGACTGGGAGCAGTGTGTGAGACCGATATTCCCGTGTTCGGTTCTTGTTCAAGCTGTATATCGAGATCGATTGGCAAGACGCTTTCTGTGTTCAGATTATGTTAATTTATAATGAATAGTGGCCTTGCTTTTGTGTTAACCTTTGTCCTGTAAGTTACTTTTCTTTATCCTAACAGATGGCTTTGTAGTTACAGGCAAGGTTCCTGTCCAAATTTTCATTTTTCCTCTATTCTCTTCATCTGTTTTGTTCAATTTCCTTTTTCCTTTCCTTTCCCTTTCCCTTCCCTTCCCTTTCCTATCCTTTTCTTTCCTTTCCCCCCTCCTCCCTCCCCTGTCCATCCATCCATCCATCTGTCCGTCCGTCTTTCCTTCCTTCCTTCCTTCCTTCCTTCCTTCCTTCCTTCCTTCACTCCTTCCTTCCTTTTTATTTAAATTTTAGCTTAGTTCATTAATTCTGTTTTTAGGTCGGATGATGAGCAGAGCTCTGCGGATAAAGAGAGACTTGCCAGGTAGGAGAACAGTATCTTTTAGCATGATGAAGCAGATGACGCTGCTTTTTCTACCCTTTTTCTTCCTCTGCTCTTTTCTTCCCTTTTTTCTTGTGTTCTTCTTTTCTGTGGCAAGAGGGGACAAGATTCTTTAGAAGTTTGTGTGTAATAGGAATTTCAGCTTCCCCTGTCAGCAAGTGGGTGGTGAGTTGAGAGAACTTTACTTAGGAATTTAAGAAATTGCTATTAGTTTTATAGTTTTCTCTTTTCCTCTTTATCTCAGCACTAAGTTTCACAGAATAAAAAAGCTTTTTGAAACAATGCAGCTGTGCCAGTTCGTGTTGTAGCAGGAAACTACTCTTTTATCAGAAAACTAATCAATATACGTGTGTTTGCATTGAGTTCAAAGGGCCTCAGCATTTACTCCACACCGTTTGAGAAAGCTCACCCATATTTTCTGTGTAGACTCACAGCCTAAATTACTATGTCGTCACAGCAGTTCTGGTGTCGCTTTGGTGATTGAATCTTTTGTGGTTTCCCAGAAAAGTTTCAGCATCCTTGATGTGGCTGTTTGAAAGATCAGCCTTCTGGACTTCGGTGTCAGAAATCTGTCAGATACTAGGAAAATAGGTGCTTTAAGTTTGAGAGTAGAATTTTATGTTTCTCAGACAAAGTAACTGAATATGGGCCTGTATGGTGAGATCTTTTCTCCATTCGGAAAGGAGACTCTTGTCGAGAAGGAAGAAATATTGCAGAAGAAATGTTGTGCCCCCATTTTTATTTTATGGTCTCTGATTTGGGACGACTCAGTACGAGATAGCTCATTGATCCCAACATTTATTTTTACTACTTTCTGCCCTCTTATCTGCCATTACCTCTTTCAACTGGGTCACAAGCTCATTTTGCCACCATTTCAACTCATGCCTCCTACTAAGTGCCTCACTCTCCAGAAAACTGAGCAGCACGTATGGTGGGAGGAGCTTTGCATTCGTTGGGTGCGAAGGCAGCTCTCGGGAAAGTCACTTGATACAACTGCTTGACTTTAGTTTGCTCTTCTCGGGAAGAGGTTTATGTTACATTAGTTGTTTTCTTTTTTCTTTTTGTTTTGACAAAGAATTTTTGTTCAAATAGAATCCTTAAGTGTAATAGAAGTAAAGAAAAGATACAGCAAAGCTGCCCAAGTGAAAGCAGGAACGCAGCCTGTCACTGGTTCTCTCCCCGTGGCAGACGCTGCGAGACTGTTGGCTTTTCAGAAGTCCAACTTGAAAACTAGTGGATTATTTTTAACAATGATATCATTCTATCTTGATTTTGAGGACATCAGTATTAGAGGTGTGGTGTACTTCCCCTGATGAAGTACAGATGTCTGTTTTTAGGCCTTTACGTCCTTCCCCACTCCACCCATACTCTTCAGTTCACTTTGTCCCAAACTGGGGAGCATGTAAGGGACCTCTAGTAGATGGTATCTTAGAGTCGCTTGAGCTCAGTGCACCAGCATTAACTCCACTGAGATAGAGAAGGTACAACTTCGTGCATTACCTGGGACAAAGAAAACGTCAAAATTTTCTAATTCTGTCTTCTAGTGTTGAGAATCAGACGCTTACAACCAACAACATTCTATAGACCAAGGGTGTCTTTACCATCAATTCTTCTATCAACTGTTGAGCAACATACTTGTGTTGGAAAAAATTGGTCATTTTATGTTTTTAGGCTTTAAAAAATTGAATTAGTAAACATGGAGTCAACCAAGCCATGATTATGTTTCAGGAACTTTGTGAATAAAATCAACATCTTTTTAAGACTGTCATTTCTTAAAACATTTTTCGTTCTGAGGGAGTGGTAATTTACATAGAAGGTAAAATTTCCAGGCGATAGAACTGTTCATATCTGCTTGTTCTCTGTCTGCCTCGTTAGTTTCTGTTCCACGCTTGCTCTGCATGAGGAGGTTGGCAAACCTTACTCTAACTTCTGAGACTAAAGCACTCCTAAATCTAAATACCACATTCCTTCAGCAGTTCACTTGGTATCTGTAGCACTCTCCCTGCTCCCAAATGGCCAGATGTGACCTCCTGGATGGGACTTCTCCTTTCTCTGTGCAGGGAAAATCATAGTGAAATTGAACGGCGGCGGCGGAACAAGATGACAGCCTACATCACAGAACTGTCAGACATGGTGCCCACCTGTAGTGCCCTGGCTCGAAAACCAGACAAGCTAACCATCTTACGCATGGCGGTTTCTCACATGAAGTCTTTGCGAGGCACTGGCAACACATCCACTGATGGCACCTACAAGCCATCTTTCCTCACTGATCAGGTCTCTGGGATGTACAGCTCTGAGAATCTAGAATCTGTTGACAGTTTCCATCTTTTTGGAGTAGATGACCGTAATCCTGAAAAGTGGGGGTCGGAGTAGAGCCGAGGCTGTAGATTATTCAAAGGACAAGAAATCGGCTCTGAAGGGAAAAATTCAGACCATAGGAAAGTGAGTTTTGATCCCTGATTATAACGTTTATTAGCATTGGGACAGTGAGAAATAGAGAAGACTTGCGAAAAGCTTATCAGTATTTTAGGACGTCGCTCATGAACGCAGCCTGGAAGATGAAAGAAGAACAGTCAGTGGAGGCACAGGGAGGAGAGATGACTGTGCCCATGTGCCCAGCCATCTTCCTGGGCTTGAGGGGTGCAGGAGGTGGAAGAAATTTTATTTCTTGTTCCCGAAGCAGCTTCCAGTCTTAGTGATAAAAGGAGTCTTAGAGTCGTCAGTGCCTAGAGACGTGCTGTTATCTTTGATGCACTATGAAACGACTAGAGAGGGCAAAATATCTAGCCTTTCAGAAACTCAGTCTGAATACGAATGTGTGAGTGGCAAGATACACGCATAAGTGAAAAATGATAGGAAAATGAATACAGAGAAGAAATGCCTTTAAAAAAGTATGAGTGCTCACTTTGGCACACATATACTAAAAAACACCTAAATGATTTGCATGGGACTAGATATAGTAGGTGTATACCGGAGAGATGGCTAAAGTGAATAGACTGCCCTGGCCTGAGCAAGGATGGTCAGCAGAGATGCCCAAGAGTAAGAAAGCCATGTTCCATGTCCTGTCTTGATTATTAAAAATAGGACATGGTTATTGCAGAAAAATATGGAAAATCCAGGAAGTATAAGGAAGAAAAAAACTGACCTGTGATGCCACTCTTTTAGTCCAAGCATTAGAAAGAAGGAAGGAATACAGTTTGGAAGAAAGCAAAAAGAAGAACTTTTCGAATAGGATGGTCTCAGTGAAAGCACATAGAGCACAGATTTTATATATATGTACATCAAAATTGTTTATCAATTGTTCCAACAACACATATGCAGATATTGATTCAACGATCTCCCGTTATGCACCTGTTGTGGGCTCACCAGGTGCTTTGTGGTATGAGAAATGTAAAGAATGTTGAGAGATTGTCACTGGTGGAAATCGTATTATAAACACAGAATCAGTTCTATGAGATGGGTGCGGTAATAAGTCCTGCAGCAGTGCAAATATGAGAAATAGAGTAGGGGGATAGTGTTGTAAATATTGGGAATAACCTGAGCAAAAGCCTAGTGAAAATGATTGGGTTACACAAAGAAATCAAGTAGTTTTGCGTGCCTACTTGGTAGTAGGAAGGGATGATAATTGGAAGGTAGGCTGGGACCTGATGATGGACTATTTAGGTGTCATAGGATTTAGTTTTTAATTTTAGGCAGTGGAGAGCCATCTAAAAAGTATAGTAGACCTGGAAACATTTTAAGGATGCATTAGAGAGAGAGAAAGCAGGGAGACCACTTCATTAGTCTTGGCATAAGGTGGCTAAGACAGTGACATAGTATTGGGAAATAGAATTGATAAAACTGAGTTATTGCTGAAGTGTAGTTAGATTTTAGGGGCTCAGAGCCTGAGAGGAAGGTGATAACTCTTAAAGGGAATGAACGCTGGACGAGCACGGACGGATTTTTGGAAGGGGAAGTAACGGCAGGTCTGGAGATGCTGAAGTGGAGTTGCTGTCTGGAGCGCCTGTTTGGAGATGTTTAACAGATACTGCTTAAAGCTCAAGGGAAAGGGTCAGGCAGGCATAGAGCAGTGGACTGGGCTCTCCTTTCATAGGAGCGAGGAGTGGACATACTCTCTCAGGGAGAGGGCATGGTGGGAATAGGGAAGAGAACTTAAGATAGAATCTTTGCAATGCCTACAATTAAGACTTGAACAAGGAAAGGGAGCCAGAAGCAGAGAAGGGGCATTTAGAAAGCAAGCAAAAGTTGGAGTGTGGAGTCACAGGGGCTAGGGGAAAATGAAATTCAAAGGATAGAATGGACGACATTGTCAGATTCTGCAGAGATAAAAAAATAACGACTCAGGAAAGGGGACTTAAGTTGACAATTAGCAACCTCCTGGGGAAAAAACCTGAATGCTGTGGTTTAGAGTGAAGACGGCAGTGGGTTGAGAAATGAAAGGTAAAAGGATAGAGCCAGTGATTCTAACATTAGTATGTGATGTTGGCATGAGAGCTGAATTGGGCCAAGTTGAGGGAAGATTTGTATAGAATTGAGAAAGCTTGATCATGTTTATAGGTCTGAGAGGAAAGAGAGAGAAAAATGGGAATATTTGTAGAGGAAGATCCTAAAAAGAGACCAGAGGGGGTGAAATCAAGAGCTCAATCACTGGTAGTACTAAGTCTTTTTATTCCCCTTCTTGAGTCCTGAGATGAAGCAGATGAGGTGGATAGTGACATAGACACATTGAGGAAATACCTGTTGGAAAAATCTATCCTGTCAGCCAAGGTGATTACGTTCAGGGCTCAGAGCTTGGCTGTGGATCAGGCAGGAGCCAGCAGTCGCTTATGGAGAAAATGCTTAGGGCCGGAAGTGTCTTACTTCTTTCCATGAATAATACTTGTTTCTTCAGAGTTCAGTATTAACTTTTTTTTCTCTTCTTTGGTCAGGAACTGAAACACTTGATCTTGGAGGCAGCAGATGGCTTTCTGTTTATTGTCTCGTGTGAGACAGGCCGGGTGGTATATGTCTCTGACTCAGTGACCCCTGTTTTGAACCAGCCACAGTCTGACTGGTTCGGCAGCACACTCTATGACCAGGTGCACCCCGACGACGTAGACAAACTTCGTGAGCAGCTTTCCACCTCGGAAAATGCCCTGACAGGTATGCGACAGGTGGATGTTAAATGACAGGAAGTCCTTCTCTTTTTTCTGAGACAGAAGAAGTGTTTTAGCTCTTAAATTTGTTTATTGGCTCTGGCACAGCTTCTAGAATTTTCTCCTTTAATGAATATAATCAGTTCTTTTTATTCACATGCCGATAAGATACTTTATAGCTTCTCCTCAGAAAATGTTTCGTTAATGACAATGCTCATTAAAAGTTTACTTTAATCTTAATATTAGTGTGAATAAAACAGTAAAGGCCAACCCTACAATAAACTTCTTTTTTTCCATTCTAAAAGAATTAAATATCTCTGTTTTTCTCTCTGCTTTTCTCTCTGCTTGGGTTTGGCTTTGTACTAGGTCCTGTGATAATAGATTTTTTTTTTAGAGGGGAGTAGTTACCAGTCTGTGTATAAGGGTTTTTTTCTGTATCTGTTTTTCTGTCTTGTTTTTGGTTTTGGTCCCCCACCACCCTCCATTTTAATGATATTTAGTCTTTTTGTCAGAGTTTTGCTAAAGGAAAAAAGTCACATCTGCTTCTAAGCAACTCTGGAAAAAATTTTAAAGTGGAAGCAGATCAAAACTGGTAATTAAAATAAAATGCAGGAAAGTCCATCATGATCATATTAATGTTGGTTTTTAGTTTTTCTTCTCACGTTTTAATGAATTTCCTTTTTCTAGTGCTTTTTCCCCAAAGTTCCCATTGGTTTTTATGTAATAAAAATTTTAGTTTCAGATAGATGTTTCTAAAGCACATAAAATTATGTTTTCAAACCAGTGACATTCACTCAGAGTGTGTGTGCTCGTCTGTGTATGCATGTACACATATGTGCGTGCTTGTGTATAAAAAGAAGACCCAGGTTGTAGCCTCGCCTCTTGCTTGTCCACACTGTTTTCCACTCCTGCCCTCCCCTGCACAGGATTATCTCCACTGCTATCTTTGAACATAAGGAGTAAGGTTTATTGGTGGGAATTGAGGTATTTTGGACTTCAAAAAAAAAAATCCATCCCCTTTAGCCTGCCCTGTTATAAACAAGGAGCTTGAAGGGCATGAATAGATGACTTACTTATCTTTGCCTTCAGTATCTTTCCCCCTCTCCCCCATAACCAAGAGTGCACTCCAGACTGCTCTTCACATTCTCCTTCAGGGCGTATCCTTGATCTGAAGACTGGAACGGTGAAAAAGGAAGGCCAGCAGTCCTCCATGAGGATGTGCATGGGCTCAAGGAGATCATTTATTTGCCGTATGAGGTGAGTGTCAAGCTGGAGATGGTGATTTGACATAGGAGGAATTAAGAGCTTAGGGTTTGATTTCTAGTCAGGAGTTAAACTCTTAAATCCAAGTCTCCATTGGATTGAATTTGACTTTCAAGACCCACATGGGTTGTAACACAGAATAAAGTGTTTGATAAGGGAACTAACGTTTACCCAACTCCTCCAGTGCCAGGTGTGACAGGTTCATTGTGTCTGTCATCTTGTTTCCCACAGCTGCCCTGTAGGGTAGAATTCATGGTTACTATTTTACCAATTAAAAAACAGACTCAAAGAAACTTCTCAGGATTACATAGGTATTGTCTGATACAGGATTTTATTTTAATCCATAGTAGTCAGGCTCCAAAACCAATATTTTTTCCCAGTGCATCACGAGACAGCATCCATGTACTCAGACCATTTCTGCATATTTTTGTGGTAGAAATTTGGATTTTCTTATGTCTTTCTTAGTATTTAGTGTTTATAAATTATATACCATACATTTTAGGATTCTGAAAAAAAGATGGTGGTATTTTTCACGTAGATAGAAGAGGTAGCTCTTGAAATCACATAATAAGTTCAGGCTGTATAATGGAAACTGACTACATTGTACTGAAATGATGCTTATTAGAAGGGGTGAGTAGGATGTTAGAAAAGTTTCCTAGGAGAGGTGCAAAATGGAATTGTGGCTCTGGGTTAGAGTAGCTTCTGGGTTTGCTTCTTACTATCTTCTGAGATCGTGAGCATATTAAATGACTATTTTGTGTTTTGATTTCATCATCTAATAATGTTGAGTTATATTAATATCAACTTAATGTTGTTACGAGGATTAGTCGGATAAATATACGTTAAGATGCTTAGACTAGTGCATGGCACATATTAAGTTCTATGTAAGTTTTATCTGTTCTTATTAATTTAAAGAAACGAGAGGAAAGTAGAGAAGATGGGAGAAAGCGTCCCAATATGTGGTGGCTGATGGAAACACACAGGCAGGAGCAAGATAAATAATAAGATGTATCAAATAGATTGGGTTGTGAAATAGAATTGGCAAACCACAACTCTTTTTTTGTAAATAAAACTTTATTGGAACATAGCCGTGCCGTTTGTTTACGTATTGTCTATGGCTGCTTTCATGCTATAATGGCAGAGTTGACTAGTTGCAGCCGATTGTATGACCCACAAAGCTGAAAATATTTACTGTCTGGTCCTTTAGAGATAAATCATACTGACCCCTGCTGTAGAGAGTCTGCACATGAAGAGCATTGGCACATTTCAACTTCAAATTCTAGAAGTTACAAGTTTTAGAAATTCCAAATCTTTTTTCTTTATCCTTCCTCGTTAGGTATATTGTTACCAATTTTCTGTGTCTAGTTATATCTAGAGCCTGTTATTTGGCTGTTTAAAGAATGGAAAATTCTTTGCTAGTGCAGCTTAATTGCTTTTAATCTTTCTGTTCATTGTAACAGGTGTGGCAGTAGCTCTGTGGACCCAGTCTCCATGAATAGGCTGAGCTTCGTGAGGAACAGATGCAGGTGAGATCCTAAGCAGGGGAAAAGCAAGGGATGGCCAAGCACAGAAAGAGAGCATCACTTCTTCAGCTGCTTGCTACAGTACTTCCTTCAGCAGCCCTCACCCTCATCCCTCGCTCCCCAGTTACTTTTTCCTGGCCGTATGTTCCTGAACTTCCAAAGCTGCTTTTGCTTACCCTGTTTAAAGAAGTTGCCATACCGCTTTCCTCCCGCTGTAGTACCTTGAAGATGCTTTACTTTGGCAAGGGTCAAAATATGATGTTGGCTTTTGGGTGGGAAAGATCCAAGTACAGTCATCCTGTGTTCTAAACAACCAAGAACCTAAAGTTAAAGGTTCTGAGCCAGCAGTGCCTCGTATGTGTTACTGGGGAGGGTGCTCTCCTCACATCTGTAATTCTTCTAGGAATGGACTTGGCTCTGTGAAGGATGGGGAGCCTCACTTCGTGGTGGTCCACTGCACAGGCTACATCAAAGCCTGGCCCCCAGCAGGTAGGAAAGTCGGATTGTGGTTTCTCTGTTGGTGCAGCAGGATCCTCAGCATCCAAGAAAGTGAACTAACACTTATCATGTGTACCTGGTATATGAAATGTACTTTGACATAAACTGTAAGAGAATAGGAAAGAAAAGTAGACCCCTTCCTTCCCTCACGGAGCTTATATTTCAGTTGAAGAGATGGATTACTCAGACTTGAAAATGACTCAGTGTTGGCTGTGTCACAGATTGTAGTTTCTAAACATGCAAATTCATAATAAGGTATACTGAATACCAGTGTTCTAAGTATTTGAGTGTAAGAGACAGTTGGAATTGAATACAGTTAACATGGAAAGCTTTCTAAAGTGGGAGCCGGACTTTGGGGAACAGGGGGAGATGGCTTGATTGTAGCGACTTGTTAAGGGGCTCTTCTCTGCAAAGGCCTCAGGTCAGGATCTGAGCAGATTAGCTTTACTAGAACTCGAGGTTGAACAGGGCATGTGAGAAAGGTGGTCAGGGCGGAGAGATCAGCTTTTTAAACTGGCTCGTTAGAATTTCCAAACCTTAGCAATGTCATTACTCCCAGCTAGGTGAATACGATTTGGAAGTAGGTGCTGTAGGGAGACAGAAACTGAGAGAACAGAGAGGCAGCGTGGTGTATTTTGGTAAGAGATTAAACTTTGGATTTGGAACAATGTAGATTTGATTCTGGCATTATTATTTCCTAATGGTATAACCTTGGGTAAGTTGCTTGACCTTTATAAAAAAACTTTCAGTTTCTTTCTTCTAATTTGGAGATAAAATATCCCATGTAGCATTATGACGATGTATAGATTTAATGTAAGAAAAGCTCCCAGCCCAGGGCCTGGCATATGGTAGGCACCCAGTAAATGGTAGCTAAATGTAAATTTTAAGAAGTAATGGCATTGGAACTTTTTAGCTTATATACTGTATAAATCATACAGTTGAGGTATACATGGTCTTTCATACTTCTGTATAGTTCTCAAAGAAATACTATTTTTCTTGGTAAAAAGAATGTAACTGCAGAGTAGAGAGAAAATGCAACCTTCTTCCATTTCCACATAAAACATTAAAACTGGCTTCTCTCTTTTCCAAAGGACATAAATAACTATTGGTGTTTGGTTTAATTTCATTTTCAGTTGTTTGCTTACTTTAAAAATCACAAGTTGGGCAAGACATCTGTTCTTTGCCTATGATACAGTCACAGAATGAATGTGTTTGGTTTGGCATAGTTTTTTAGAATACTTTGGGTGGGACCTGTACTCTGTAGTTTATTACAATTAATATGGGTAAAATATATGAATTTATATATAGAAATATATAAATACTTAAAACATCTGGCGTAGATGGTATATTCTATGTAGTTTTTACCTTTATTTTTTTAAAAAAATTATAGTTGACATACAATATTATATTAGTTTCGGGTATACAAAACAGTGATAAAACATTTATATACCTTACAAAGTGATCGCCATGATAAGTCTAGTAACCGTGTCGCTGTCAGAATTATTACAATATTATTGACTGTGTTTCCTATGCTGCACAATACATCCCCGTGACTGTTTTATAACTGGGAGTTTGTACTTCTTAATCCCCTTCACCTTTTTGCCCATCCTCCTAACCCCCTCCCTTCTGGTGGTCATCAGTTTGTTCTCTATTATCTACGAGTACCTGTATTCTTATCTTTCATCACTCTTTATTGTTTTATACCTAGTCTCTTCATATGTACATGTATTTTAAATCTTTACCTGTCTGACTTTTGAAGGCAGTTGAGTTTGAGATCTCTCTGAAATCTTTTAACTTCACCTTCTTGAAGGTGTCTCCCTCCCAGACGATGACCCAGAGGCCGGCCAGGGGAGCAAGTTTTGCCTAGTGGCCATCGGCAGACTGCAGGCAAGCATGAATATTTTACATCTATATGATCCCTTTTCATTGAGAAGAAATGTCCAACAGGACTTGTCCATGTTATTTTTCTCTCTGAATACGAACGAAGAATTCTATAAAATTCCAAGTATTTAGAGGAATATGGCATTCATAGTTAACGTTATTTCTCTTTGATTTAGCAGAGACTGAAGAGGATGAGAGAGGAAGGGGATCTTCTCCCCTTATCTTTTACATACTTAGCTTTGCAATGCCGAATTTTCTATTTCCAACTAATTTCTTTTGCTCTAAGAGAAGAGAGATTTGTTTCATTTTATCATCACATGACTATAGAGAAGTGGAATTATTTCGATTCGTCTCATAAAATAGATAAGCTTGATTACTTGAGACTATAATTTTCCAATCTGAATAATGAACACAGCCTAGCTAAATGAAAGTAGGTGGGTTTGGGGTTGAATGAATTTTTATCTTTCTTTACAAAGTTGGTGAGGAGTACATGTGTGGGAGTGGAGTTGGTATTAACGCCCTCTCTGTTTGTGATTGTCATTTTTTCCATCCTGGATGAGATGTGAAAGTTTTGAGATTCCTAAAACTGGGAGCCTCATATCTATGTAAAGGGACCATGAGGGGGTGGGAGCTACATCTGTAAAGGATGGAGTCATTTTATCTCATTTTCGTCTCCCTACTTTTAGGTAACTAGTTCTCCCAACTGCTCAGACATGAGTAATGTTTGCCAACCAACAGAGTTCATCTCTCGACACAACACTGAGGGACTCTTCACTTTCGTGGATCACCGCTGTGTGGCTACTGTTGGCTACCAACCACAGGTGAGGGGCTAGAGGCGTTACCCCATTGACACTTATGCCTCATGTTTCCCCTTGGCTGTGTTAAGATTACTCGATCATGTAGTTGAGAGATAGCCAAACATGTCAGCCCCAGCTCAGAAAGAGATGATCTCTTTTATCATCAGATCTAGAAAAATATGGTTTGTGAAACCAGGTGGGAGCAGCAGGTATGAATATGTATTTGTTTTTTTGTTACTGATATTAATACTAGATAATAATGATGCAGAAGTGCTCATTTTAATTAGTTACAATGCTATGGCCACCTTCTGATAATTCATGTAATCACCTCAAGTTCTAGTAAAGCCATTCTGCTCAAATCCTGAATTAAAGCTTTTGCACAGTAACCCACAAGTTATCATTTTATTTAGATTTCTTATTCAGCAGACCAGGTCACTATACCTGGGTCAAGAAATAAGTCATTATGTAAACATTCAAAACTATAGTGGCCAGAAGGGTGTTCTGGCTGTGGTTGTGGGAGGAGGTTGGTGAAAAAAAAAAGACCTTGAAAAAGAACAACAAATTTGGAGGATTTACACTACCTGTTATAAAGGTGTCGTTAAGACAGTGTGGTGTTGGTATAAGGATAAGTTCGTAGATCAGTAGACCGGAGTAGAGTCTATTCTCACACTTATGGTCAACTGATTTTCAACAAAGATCAAGACTGTT